ACTCCGAACATCCGATACTAGAAGTTCCCATCTCAGACGACCCCTTAAATAAGTTCACAAGACAGCTTATCTTAAACATTGTAGGTGATATGAAAGGACGACCGACCGTTACTAAGCCGTTTGATACTCACACTCGCATAACAGTACAGGTATCAGAATCTACTTTAGAAGACGATGTCATTAGCGCAATTAAGGAATATGTTCACCCTAAAATTAAAACCGGCTTGCTTATTAACCCTCCTCTAGGAATGTACTCTATTATCCCTATTATTCAAAGAACGTTTAAAAATTCCGCTATGCAACTCATATTAACAAAAAAGGAATTAGAGAATGTCAGAGAGTATTTGAGGCAACAAGATATCATTAACAAATATCACGATGGGAAAACTAACCACCGTGGTATTAACGAAACTTTTTTAGCTCTATCCCATAAATTCTATTGGCCTAAAATGCGCGAACACATTACAAAATTCATTAACGACTGTACTATTTGTGGTCAAGCAAAATACGACCGAAATCCCATCAGACCTCAGTTTAAAATAGTTCCTTCGGCAAGTAAACCTTTTGAATTAGTACATCTCGATTTGTTAACTATACAAGGAGAAAAATTTCTGACCATTGTAGACGCATTCTCTAAATACTCTCAAGCGTACTATTTGAGGGATGGCACCGCAGTTAGTGTAGTACAAGCTTTACTTAACTTTTGCACGCACCATGGCATACCACTCACTATAATCACCGATAATGGACCAGAGTTTACTAACCAACTGATAGCAGAATTTGTTAGATTACATAAGATACAGCATCATAGAGTAGCCGCGCATGCACCCAATGAAAACGGAATAGTTGAAAGATTTCATGCAACTATTTTAGAGCACCTCCGTATATTAAAAGTTAGTCATAAAAACGAATCCGTGATTAACCTCATGCCATACGCCCTTTTAGCTTATAATAATAGTATACATAGTTTAACGAAATGCAGACCAATTGAAATTATAACAGGACACTTTGACTCTCGAGACGCTTTTGACATAGATCTTACTACTCACTTATTACAACAGTATATGACTAACCATAAAGATAAAATGACCAAAACTTATAATCTAATTCAAGATCTCAGTACTGACGCCCGTAGAGAAATTATGACCAACCGCAATAAAAATAGGGAACCCGAAATTGATTACTGCCCCGAGCAACAAATATTTATTAAAAACCCAATAGCATCCCGTCAAAAGTTAGCACCACGTTATACACAAGACACGGTAATGGCAGATCTTCCCATTCATATTTATACAAAGAAAAGGCGCGGCCCCGTGGCCAAAAATAGGTTAAAAAGAATCCCTAATAGCTCAAAATTGTTACAGGACGATCCCGGCACTTCTTCTGATCCTGCCAGCAACGATAACACAGGAAATAAGACTTGAAAGTCTCGATAATGGCCCCGGTGTACTTCCTTTTAAATTAGGCTCTAGTAGAATATTATCTCATTACCATTCTTTCTTACAATATGTTAATTTGCACACATTACAAGAACAAATAGATTCTATACTTATTCAATTAAATAACAATACTTTTGAACTCCATAATAAAACGAATGCCTTATTTGAACCTCACATAAATTATTTAAATTCTAAAGTTAATAGTATATCAGAACAATTACAAACCTTTGAAGAAAACCGCTCTAAAAGAGGACTCATTGATGGTCTCGGATCGATAGTTAAAAGCATTACTGGTAATCTGGACTATACAGACGCTTTGCACTATAACAATGCTATTAAAGAGATTCAGGATAATGAAAATAAGTTATTAACGGAATTTAATAATCATGTTAGTTTGACTAAAGATATAACCTCACAATATACTAAAATTATACATACCATAGTTGGCAATCAAGAAAAGATGCAAAGTCTTATTAATAAAATTACAGATAGTGATGCCACCAGAGATTATGATCTTATTAAATATGCCCATCTCGCACAGATACTTCTAATACTCAGCGATAATGTAGATTCAATATCACAGGAATTGACTAGATTACAAAATATTTTAGCGTTTACTAGAATCTCCACCATGCATCATTCATTTCTTTCCTTAAACGAGATTCGTAATCTCATTAACAAATTGAAGATAATATACGGGAGCGATAAAGTAGTAGACTTAGATATAAGAGAATATTATGATATAATTAAGCTAGGTTCATATTATATAGGAAACGAAATAGTTATAGTCTATAAATTTCCCATTTATAAATTACATATATATGATTTATATAAACTATCAGTTATTCCCAATAAACTCCACCAAATCCTTATTCCTCCTTCCCCATTCCTAGCTGTCCACGAGAAAGATTTTAAGCACATAGAGACAGAATGTCCGAAGACCAGTAAATGGTTCTTATGCGAAGAAGAAAGGAGCCTGCAGATTCTTCCAGCTCAAGATTGCATTCATCAACTTATTACTACTCAACAACGTAGTACAATATGCAATCCCGTTAACGTCGAACTCGAACAGCCCGCATATGAAGAATTGGACGACAGACATTACACCGTCAGCTTCCCTGTACCAACAAAAGTTCATCTCTCATGCGGACAAGATCTATATAAAGAATACCAAGGCAGTTATCTCGCCGTCATACCACAGAACTGTTACATGAAGACACCGCAGCTAACCATCTCCAACACTAAAGATCGATTAAAGGGTCACGTGCTTAAGATAATGGATCTACCCCAAGAAGCAGATGTCATCCCACCACCAACCGCCGCACTGAAACTTAACTCTATGAACCTACAGCATCTTCATGCAACCGATATGAAAATCTCTCAACAGCGAGCTGTTCACTTCCAGACTCGAGATTACACTTTGTATCATACTACAATACCATTATACATAGTAGTGATCATTACATGTGCACTCGCTATTACAGTGCTATATCGCAAATACTTCAGAAGAATTACCGCTGTAAAAATTCCCGAAGATGAAATTAACACGAAACAGATTTACGCAGATCCAGTACCGAAATTAAGAAGAAACCAACCACCACCTCAATTTACAACTAAAATCTTCGGTGGAGGCTGTTCTACGAGGGGAGGTGTTACGGACGCCTAATATATGACAATCGCCAAGTCAGCATCGACACCGATCAACAATGCACACGGCACCAGGCGGCACGAGGCGCAGCGTCAGCGGAACGTGACAGGCATTGCAACACCACCAGCGTTTCCGTCAAAATTAAATATTATAATTCATATTTGTTTCACACTTCGAAGCATTATCATACTTTTCTTGTAATTCTTTTATAATTAAATTTAGTCTATTAAAATTTGCTTTTTTTTAAGACCTTCGGCTGCAGATAACTTATTTCACTGATATACAAAATAATAAATTATTAATAACCATTTACTAGAGTTCTATAGATACTCTTATAGATATTAATCACGTGACCCCAGTGCGGTTTCTTAACATGTCTTCCAAAGCATGTAGGAACACGACATATTATTGATCACCCAATCTATGACCGGTAATTGCGATAGTAGCTTAATCTCCGCAACTGACCGGACGAGCCAATGAAGCTCCAGTTTGCTTGTTATATTTGATAATATTTTGCTGTCACATTTTAGATTATATCCATTGTCCCTCGCGTATGATGAAGCTTAGGTGAAACAATTTTTAAAATCGGTTCAGTAGTTTCGAATCTTATTCAATTCAAACAAACAAATAATTTCTCTTTATTATGTTATCAATTTATTCCAAAGAAATACTTATACCCGTTTTCACTAACCTAGAACAAAACATAGCTAAACTACTAGCATTTGTTTAACTAAGCATTTGTTTAGGTGAGCAAAGTTTGCCTATGGTTCTTTATCGCTTTAAGTTCGTCTTGAAATTTTTTAAATATATTTTTGTTTACACAATTTCGCCAAAGTCACCTTTACACGCATTACTTTACATTTTGAGGTAACAAACCAAGATACGTGGTTTAAGAATAATGTCCATATGTAAAAAGTCAGAAAATTCAAACAATCTCATTGTTTATATCTCAATGCTAATATATAAACTCCTCGATTCCACATTCATAAATTGATTTTTTCCATTGACACATCCGTTGTGGCCAGAGAGTAAATGTAAATGTCACATTACGTAAATGCCCAGTGCGCCGCAGACAATGCATATCCTTACTTTAAGCGTTGCCCAAAGTCGTTAGGTCATTTTCGCCTTAGACAATGCCCAAATATTTAGGCGTCAAGTTTGGGCGCCTCCTATGTTTAGTGAAAACGGGCATTAAAGAAAAAGAAATCGCCAGTCCGAAATGTCTGATAATGGACTGGGACTGATAACCTTTTGTTTGTTTTGTTGGCCTCCGGGATACGCATGAATTTCACAAGCAGTTATTACCTTCGCCACTAGTGAGTGTGTTTTCATCAATGTTCAGGATATCCACATAAACAGCGGGAAAATATGTTTTGTTATTTATTTCTGACTATATTATATCTTCTATAATAATTGCCTTATATAACAATTAATTTTTACTGCAATTGTATGTTTCTTTTTGGCATGAATAAGTTATTACCTTCGCTACTAGTGAGTGTATCTATCAATCGTCGTCGGAACATCGGAAAGATATATTCTTACGTTTCTTCCGTTATTTGACGAGCTCCGTAGCCTAGTGGTTCGAATGTCGGTTTGAAGGTATCGCCGTCTGTATAGCTACTCAACTTGGAATCTGAGCAATGTATGTGATATTCTTAAGTAACAAGTGCTTGAAAGATTCGTCAGTCCTGTTAGGTCGTGGGTAGCTCAGCTGTTAGAGCAGGTACCCGGATTGCGAAAGGTCGTGGGTTCGATTCCCATCTCAGGGTGTCAGGAACCAAGTGGATTTTTTAAGCATTTTGTATTAAGAATATTTTTCAGTAAAGCATTGTGAATTCGCAATTAATCAAATATAATAATATATGTGATGTTACATTATTATATTTATATATTATATATTTATTTATTTAAAGGCAGTTTCTCGTGGTGACACATATCCGTATGAAGTGGCTGCCACTGTGGCTGCAACTATGGCGCAACTAAGAGCGCCTAACGCGCATCGACTCGTGTGGCAGTCTAAAGTTGGTCCGTTGCCATGGTTACAGCCGTACACAGACGATGCTATTAAGGTAGGATATGATAGGTTAACATGATGTCGATTTATCCTACTCAACACTATAAATTTATCCTAGCTACCTAAATTTGTTTCTTGTCATTTTTTTACAATAGTTGTTGTATGTAATGCAAATAAGTTATCAATGTATTTTACTTCTCGTAATTTAATTCAATTACACCTATAATATTTGTCTATGTCGGAATAATGGCTTTCCGCGTGGATAGAAACGTTGGGTAGGGTAGGGTGGCCGGCGCGGCGCCGGGTACCAGAAAATATATTTTCTGTATTTGTGCGCCATGGGGTGCACCGGTGACCTCAGCTATGTATTTGACTGTAACTATGTAACCCATGTACAGAATTGAATAAAACTTATTTTCTATACGTATCGTTACATAATAAACAAATTACGACCAAAAGTATTTTTACGATTTTTATTTTTTTTCTATCGGCGTTTAACGTGTTAACTATAATGAAACAGACTCACTTACTCTCACACGCTCACACTTTCACACACATTCACTCACACTTACTCACTGGCACACACCTAGATAAACTCGCGAACACGCATACACACACACCCACCCAACGAAAAATACACAAGAACACGTATACATTATGAACAAGCTTGATGTTCACTAATAAAAAGATAATCTGGTCTCAAGGATATATAAATAAATGTTTTGGTGGAGTCGCAACACCCGAGATTCAGGTTAACCCTAGTATAGGAGATGTCTATCATATTGTCTGTAATTTTAAATGTGAAATATGATATTTATGATAAACCAAAACATACAGTAAAACAAATTATACAAGATAAGCTTTTAACTTATACTATCATGAAAAAAACGCACTCGCACTCACACACGTACACATACACACACAAACTCACTCACTCACACTCACATACACACTCACGCACTCACGCGCGCACGCTCACGCAAATAAACGCACTCCCACTCACATCACGAACACACAAACACACTCGCACACACAACCCAAGAACACACATACATTATAAACAATATTGGATGTGTGAAATAGACCTTATTATTATTAGTTAAGTGGTGGCTTTGCAAGTGATTTGATGAAGCAACATTATTGTTGATATACAGGCGTATGTGAAACAAGGCAGGAAGCATTTGATATTGGTGCCTATAGCGTTTGTGAACGAACATATTGAAACACTCCACGAGCTGGATATAGAATACTGTGATGAAATAGCTAAGGAGGTGAGTGGAATACTTTAACTTTAAATTTGAAAAATATTTACTAACTTTACGTTACAACTATTCGACATGTGATAATAAAATGAGGAAGTATTTAAAAAAAAAGACATTAGTTCACGAAATCAAACTAGATGTCGCTACGGCACTTTCTTGATTTCTCCATGGCAACCCTTCCGGTTTACTTTCGTGTATAAAAGTAAATTAGTTTTCAAAACTCAATAAACAACTCATATTCTATTTGTACTTTTTCGTATTTGTATTGATATATAATTTTCGAACTTTGCAAATTTCAGTTTTTCAATATGTCAGTTAAAAGGAACGGAAATGACTGTCTTTGGTCCATTTGTTTCCTGCAAAAATCAACTTTTGCTAGAGTCGCCATCTAGTGGAGGTGCTTTTTTAGTGTTTTCTTTTTTTTTTAATTTCCTCATTGCGATCGCGAGGTTTCTTTTAAAGATATTGAATGAACGATAACTTTAATTTGATGTTAATCGGAATTGCCTTTGGAAGCTATTGCGAAACGTCAAACGAAATGAATGATCTATGACTTGAATATCATTCTGTTCATTAATTGTGACTTCAAAAGTTAGACAATTTCAGAAATCACTTTCACAACCGCTATATGTCAGAAAGGGATTGTGATAGAGTTTAAAATTACAATAGAAAGTTTTTCTGGCGGGTTAATTATAATAAGTTATACTTTTAATATTTATTGATCTTTTTAGTACTAGTCTTAGTACATCTTTGGCAATATCCTTTTCAAGGGTAATTTCGATGACAAAAAGTAAGTAAAAAAATTGCGCAAATACTAAAATTATCATTGTTATAAACATAGACATTCTGATTTTGTGTATTAAAATAAGATTTTTATGTCTGTACGTCACAAGGCTTTAAACACGACCTGTGATTGTGTGACGTCACTCCGGCAACATCTGTCAGATTAGTCCTAAGCATATGCCTATTTATAATAAATCAAATTCCTAGATGGCGCTGTACTTATCTTATTTATATCTTCTTATTTCATACTAAATCGTTAAATGGCTTTGCTCTTGTTTCATTGACATATTTTAATCTACTCCATGCATCTGTTTTTTGTACATATCGGAATGACGTCATGAATATAGCGTTTTCGCGGGTATGAAACAAGTTTAAATTTTGATTTAATGTTAAGGCAAAAAAAAACTTATTTATTTTAAATATTTTTTAATACTTACAAGTACTATTTCAAATAGAATACCCTATTCTATATACAAGTAATGCTTTACTAGTTGCGAGGGCGGATCCAGCTTTTGCGCCACAGGGGGGGATCATTAATGACAAAAAATAATACAAAGTAATATAATAAATTAATTATATTTTGAAATTACTCAAAAAAATCTATATTAGAACCAAAAATATACAAAAAAACCATTATATAGACCCAGCAAAGGGGATTATGTCTCTTCTGAGCATCTCCATGGCTCCGTCCTTGACTAGTTGTACGTGTAAACTAAATATATGTATCTAAAATGCGGCCAATCAGAAGCGATACCATATGTAAACAAAACCAATGCAATGTCATTAGGAAATGCAGGGGTGCGTAATATTTTGTAAACTATGTATTTTTATTAGCACACAATAATAATTTAAATAATAAATGGCATTGAGTTACTTTATGTAATTGTTATTCTAAAAATTTAATAATAAAAAGAGAATGAGTTGAAATTCGAATAATAATACTCAAAACTATAGGCATGGCAGGGAGGTATCTCAAGTCTGTTAACTTAACTTGTAGCTTAGGTCCTGCTATTTTTTTAAAATTTCAGTTTGAATTCATTATGATTTAATGTCGAGAATAATAATAATATTTATGGCAGTGAGGATAAGAATGAAAATTAATGAATCACTATTATTTAAAATGGTCGCCTGAATGTTGGGAGAACGAGACATTGCGACAAATACACAAGATGAAAAGAGATAGATAATGGATAGTCAACTCCACTGTAATTTTTCTGGTTAATGACCTTTCGTATCGCTGCTAGTTGGCTGTACTTTATATATACAACGTGTCCCAAAATTCAACGATAAGCGGGCGCCAAGAGGTAGCCCTGCTCATGTGTACTTATGGAAAAATAAGAAAAAAATTATATCTTATTAATCTTTTTTATTATAAAATAAATGGAATCTTCATGAGCTGCGTCAATTTTAAAAACAACTTGCCGCAGTAGTGTCCATACTTTTTTTCTACATGACTGTGAGTCAAAGATTACGGAACGTAAAAATCTGTGAAAATTTAAGGAAAAAAATACATTTTGATTGTTTTTTGTGTAAATACTGCGGGCATTTTGGTGTTTTTAAGAGTTGTAGCGAATAGTAGTGCTACTTAGGTATCCGATACCAAAAAAAGATTGAACATAATTGAGAAGTTGTGGTCGTGGTAGTTGTAAATATCATAAAAGGTGTAAATTTTCGAAGATTTTCGAATTTAATTTTATAATAAAAAAGATTAATAAGATATAATTTTTTTCTTATTTTTCCATAAGTACACATGAGCAGGTCTACATCTTGGCGCCCGCTTATCGTTGAATTTTGGGACACGTTGTATATATGATAACGTATCGGTATTGTGTATAGGCAGGCGTTATACAAATTGAAAGAGCTTTAGCTCCCAACGATCATCCAACGTTCATAGCGGCTCTAGCGGACGTGGTTGCCTCGCATCTATGCAACGGACCGACAATAAACAACCAGTTCTTGACAAGGTGAGTTTAACACTGTTGCCACTTAGGAGGGTACAGGATAAAATTTAACGTACAATTCAATTCACAATCAGAATCTTTATTTAAAATTAGAAAAAGCATGTAGTTGATATTCTGAACAAGCAGGACGGTCGTTTGGCAGACAAGAAGAAAGAGAAAGAAACACCAGCTCTAACAGAAGTCACGACATTTACAAAAACCATATCATTACCAGATCAATATCCTATTATATATAAAGCTTATCTATAATTAATATTATAAATGTGAAAGTTTCTTTGTTTGGATGTTTGTCGGTAAATCACGCCGAAACTACTGAACGGGTTTTTATGAAAATAGGGTATCAACTGACTTAGATAATAGGATACTTTTTATCCCACTAAACATGCCGCTGGCGAAAGCTAGTTAACAATATGAATTAACAAACAAGTAATTTATGAAGTAATTATACCATACAATATTTAACATAGAATAATTAGAAAACAAATCTAAAAAATTATAATAATTTTAATAATAAGTAACACGATAATTTTGAAATATAAACACCAATTACTTTTCAAGATGGCTGGAATACTTTAACTCCAAGCATGTCGTTTATAGAATTTGCTACGTTTGTATTTTTTAAGAATATTTTTTTTAGGTAATCTCAAGTTTTATATGACAAGATAACATGATGTAGATTTATCCTATACTATAGTCACGGGCCAGCCCAATGGAATGATATAAGGAGAATGGACCATGATTACCACGCGATCCCAGTGCAGAATGGTGGGTTTTAACGACTGCAGATGGTAGCTACTACCAACGGATTAACGCGCATTCCAAAACAGTGAGGAGTTTGAGATAATAAATTTTTGGTCACCCATCCTATAACCCGCCATGACAAAAGTTAATTATCGCATCAGAGACAGAACGACTATTAATTGCGCCATCGTGCTTCTCAAGCGCCATTGAATCGCAATAATAACATGACATGCCATAATTATAACATCGGCTCGTCATAATTACGTGATTGACATGTCATAATTACGCCATTGATATGCTATAATTACGCCATTGACATGCCATAATTGTACTATTGACACGTCATAATAACGTCATTGACATGCCATAATTACGCCATTGACATTAGCAAAATAAGGGCCCAGATCTAGTTCAATCCCTTCAGTATTAAACGTTATTAATAAAAAAATAATTTCACAGGTGTCCACATTGCGTCAGTAAAAGATGTCAAACTTCAAAAGATTTCTTCAGAAAGTTGTGTAGCTCTACAGACTTCAACTTGCAGACTGTGACGTCATAATTTTTATAAAAAGCCAATTGCAATATTAAAATCTAAAGGAATTCACATTGTCTTCTTAATTAGTAGATGGATTTTTTTGTATCGGAGCCCCCTTAAGTAAATACTAAATATATTTTATTCTGGTTTTAGTATAGGTTGTGAAAATTTCAACTGTCTCTCACGGTTCATGATATATAGTCTGGTGACAGACAGATAGACAGCGGAGTCTTAGTAATACCCTTTGGGTAATGGACCTTAAAAAAAGGTGGTTATCGATTCGTCTGTGTGTATGTTTATTGTTTTCAGATATCATTGTTTTCTTTTTTAAATTGCACTTTTTAAGTCTGTTTCTTTATAAAATTTCGGGTGTTCTTTAAGTGGAAATCTAAGCAATTTTCTCTATAATTTATGGTGTACAATAAAGAATTTATTCATTCATTCATTCATTCAATTAAACAAAAATAGATAAATATCATCGGCATATATACATTTACTAGCTTTTGCCCGCGACTTCGTCCGCGTGGTAAAGTTACTTAGAGCAGCATTTCTAACGAATATATATAATATTTATTCGAGAGTCATCCCCTATTTTATTCCCTTAGGGGATGAATTTATCAAAATTCTTTCTTAGGAGATGCCTACGTCTTAGTAGCTTTATGCATGCAAAGTCTCAGCCCGATCGGTTTAAAATTGACAAAGTTTTATCCCCTATTTTAGCCCCTTGGGGATAGAATTGATCAAAATCCTTTCTTAGCGGATGGCTACGTCATAACATCTACCTGCATGCCAAATTTCAGCCCGATCTGTCCAGTGGTTTGGGCTGTGCGTTGATAGATCACTATGTCAGTCAGTCACCTTTGAGTTATATATATAGATTACGGTCGCCGAACAGAAAGAATTCCATACAATGACCCGGCTAGTGTTGCCAACCCCAAGAAACTAAAAAACGACAGCTCACCAATATAAAAAACAGGAGAAAACAGTAGGTTACTTACTTAAATATATATAATTAAATGAATACTTGTGAATCTTTCTCGTAGTATAGTATATAGTGTAGTTCCATTGACGTGTGAAATATGTTACCAATGGTGTATGTGGACAAAGAAAATTATTTATTTTTCACAATCCTGTATAAAATAAAATCTACCTCAATTTCCTATTGTAAATTCATCGTTTGTTAGAAAAAGGTTGTAAGTTATATCATTTTAATAGATGGCGGTGGTAAAATTACTACATGTTTATGTAGCCGACTAATATATGGCGCTGATAGCACTTTTATTTTATATAAACTATGTCAATTATTTATATACACCCATTCATATTCTCTCTCTAAATGGTTATTAATTATTATATCGTAAGACTGGTATTTGGTGTTTCTTTCTTATTAATTTAATTATATAAATGTTAAAACAATGGTACCTGTGTTTTATTTCATCATGAAATCAATGAGGATGTATTTAAAAACAAAAAGAAAGCACCTCCACTAGATGGCGACTCTAACAAAAGTAGATTTTTGCAGGAAATGAATAGATGAAGCGACATCTAGTTTGATGTCGAGAACTAATGTTTTTGTTAATACTTCCTTCCGGCGACAACTGTCAAATGAGACATAAAGATATGCTTAATAATGAGGAAGTATTAAAAAAAAAACACTAGTTCCCGAAGTCAAAGTAGATGTCGCTACGGTACTTTCTTGATTACTTCATGACAACCCTTCCGGTTTTCTTTAATGTTTAAAATTAATTTATTTTTACAAAACTCAATAAACAACTCGTATTTCTATTTCTACTTTTTCGTATTGGTATTGATATCTAAGTTTCAAACTATACAAATTACAGTTTTTTAATGTGTTAGTTAAAAGGAACGGAAATGACTATCTTTGGTCCATTTGTTTCCTGCAAAACTCAACTTTTGCTTGAGTCGCCATCTAGTGGGGTGCTATTTTGGTGCTTTCTTTTTTTCTTAAAATACTTCCTTATTGTAAACTAAATTCCTAGATGGCGATTTCTGCTGCTTCTACTCTACGCATGTTTTGTGTACATATAACAGTGACGTCATGAATTGACGGACAGCGTTATCGCAGGTGAAAAAAGTTTAAATTTTGATTTAATTTTAATGCCAGAGAACGTGTTTATATTTTGAAATATTTATTGTGGCTTTTTTTTATTAAAGTAAACAGTTACGAGTATTATTTCAAACAAAGAAGAATACCCTATTAATTAATCTCACACTATAACGATTACTATTAAAGTGTTGCATATAGACCTATTTTAAAAAAGTTATATTAAAAAAGCTTGGAATAAATTATAAACATTTGGAGTAACCTTGTGATTTTTTTGTATCTATAAAATCTTATAAATAAATGTTTTTTGTGACAGAATCCTAAGGAGAAAAATTGAAGTAGTTTAAATGATAATGTTCTTATTTCTAATAGAATATATATATATATATATATATTCTATTAGAAATATATATATATATATATATATATATATATATATATATATATATATATACATATATATATAGAATAAATATGTATATATTAGTACGTAACCCTCGGCGTGAATTCAACTCCCTCTGGCCGGTTTTCATTCAAGGCAATTCTTATCAATGAAATATCAGCGAACGCCATGTAAATGTATAATCACAAAAACACTTTCCAATGCGTGAGTATACTCTCCACGTAATATTACGTAAATAGTCGGTCAATATGTCCGTTTGTACGCATCCTGAATATATAATTAACTAAAAGAACACTGTCACTTGAATTAATCTAAAGCACCGTTTATTCGAAGACAGTAGCCATAACAATCCATTTTTTTTTAGTTATGGCCTTGTTCCGTTGTACACAGAAATTCTGCCAATATCCCGTAGTGAGAGAGACACGAGACTGAATGGTAGTTACAATTAATCAGTTTTTCCTCGAGATTGTTCTTTCTCTACTAAAAAAATGACAACACAAAAGCAAACATCATCATCATCATCATCATCAGCCCTTTTTACGTTCCCACTGCAGGGGCTGCCTTCCTTATGGATGGTTAAGGAGGATGGGTCATGACCCTCCACGCTGGCCCAATGCGGATTAGAGGGTATTAACGACTGCAAATGCAGCCGGGACCAACGGCTTAACGTGCCTTCCGAAGCACGGAGTAGCTCGAGATAATAATTTTTTGGTCACCCATCCCGTGACCGACCCTTACGAAAGTTGCTTTACGACAACGATCGCGGGCCGCGGCGCTTATCCACTACGCCACCAAGCAAATAGCACTGTAACTACAATTTGATATTATGTTTTTTATAAATCAATGCATTTCAAACATATAGCGGTTATAATGCTATATAATGTCACAGACAATTCATTTCGTTTGCCATTTCCCAATAGCTTTCAAAGCTATTTGTAACTATCACTTCGCTTAGAAAATTACAATTAACGTTATCGTTCGTTCAAAATCTTTCAAAAATATCACTCGCATTCGTTTTCACATGTCAAATAGTAGAGGTTTGTGAATATTTTTCAAATGCCAAATTGAAAGGGGGTTGCGATAGGTTTTAAAATTAGACTATTACAGGTTTTGACCTGACCCAGAGAAAGTATAAAATCAAGCTTCGTTACCCTCGAACCTTAAAGACCTCATACTAACTTATTTATTTATTTATAGGACACCAACAGTGTATGCATTAATACATATTTTGCAGTACAGTATCAATAAATTATCGGTCTGATGCGTACACCTTTTTAGGCGACACGACATTGGTATTGAAGCAATTTTGATCACAGAGCGCTTAGTGTAATTTTTTTTGACGTTTACGTTTACTGTCGATCGTGAGCGCGTTAAGATTTTAGTATGGAATCCGGTACAGCGCCCCTAGCGGTAACTACCAAGAACTACAAATTTCCATACAAATTCTTAACGCGCTCACTAGTGAACGCGTTAGCGTAAAACTTACACTTACCCCTCAGATTATTAAATTATACAAAATTAATTAAATAAGAATAAATTAGTCGTAAATTAGTTATAAATCAATCATTACAATTCAAAACAATTAAATTAAATCTAAATTAAAATCAAAGTAAAAATCTAATTCAAAATAAACATCAAATCAAAATAAACATTTTAAAATAAATTTGGACGTAAATGTCAGAATAACAGTTCACAACAATAATAACCATGCAGAATTATGTTTAAAAATATATATATAAAATACAATAAACAGAAAGTTAAGTAAAAAAATGATTACAATTACAATACAACTTGAGAAATTTAACTTTGTAATCACACTTATTACGATGGCAATAAAAGCTAAGTTAATTAGCACAGTATATTCTGTGGCGCTATTTTCGTGGGGCAAACTATATATCATTAATCATTATTCATACATTCAGTTAAATTAGTTTCGCGAAGGTTCATATGTAAACTATGTTTTCGTTTTCAATACCGAGCAATTAGAGCTATGCGACAAAATCTATAGATATACTTATTAATTGTTTGCGAGTGTCTCACTCAATCGTTCTCATTCAATCAGATGCGTCTCCCCAGTGCTGCCAATACCGAGAAAAATACCCGAACAACGGGCAATTTCGGCAGAGTATGTACACAAAACAAAGCAGATATTATTTAATTAATAAAGGTTTCTTTATTTTGATCTAGAAAGCTTTTGATTATTCTTATTTTTGTATTATACAAAGAACCGAATTAAATCAAATATATTTATTGTTATGGGCACAGGATAAACATTTAAAACTAAATGAATTGAAAGTGACATAAACAAAACACAAAAATTAAAAAAACAATTTGACATAAAATATTGTGTCCATCGGCTTTCACAATGTTTTAAAAAATTATGTGGTCCCATTTTTTTTAGTTGATCGTACTGTATATATCATACCGTACAGTATAGGAATCACGGAAAATCGCCACTTTTGTTTAACTTACGCTCATACATAACGGCTTACGTCAATTTTCATGTGAAATCAATTGCAAAAATGCACACAACGTTTGTTACGCTGATTAACATTTGTCTTTTTAAGAAACTCGTAATAGTTTTTTTACTGTATACTATTTAAATTCGACACGTCAAAATCAAAAGCAAATACAGAGATAGACCATCAGAAAGTAGTAATTTATCGTGATAGTCAAAAAGCCGGTTTGTAGAGAGCGTTAAAGAGGTAAAATATGGACATTGTGCTGGCAACATAGATTATCTCACTCATTGTGCCAGTCACGTCGAGAATCTAGTAGAAGTTGAGCGTATATTACGTTTAGTATCTAGAATGTAAACAAATAAATATTTATTTTTGAGTGAAATATCTCAATAACTGTTTACAAAATGACGAGAATAACAATGTCGGATTACGTGCATGTGTTGTGTTTGTTTGTGTTATTGATTGTGAACGTTCAAAATGTATATTCCAATACTTTTATTAGTGAACATGAACATGTTCATTGTACTCATGAACATCCAACTGAAGACCAAGTAAGTGATGAAAACTCATTTCAATTTAACCTCTTTACTTCTTAACTGCACCATAGAGTACGGTTAATTTGTTTTTAATTGGCCTTTTTAGGTTATATGGGTGTACTAGTTTTAAATTTGGTATTGTTTTGTCTATGTTTAGACTGGATATTTATTTTCAAGAGAGTTTTATTAACGCAGATAATTCCGTGTCGTTATAAAGTTTAAGTTGTATTTGTTTGGACAAGTACTTGATGTTTTTGTTTTATTCACAAGATAACAGGATTAAGGGATCAAGGGGTCGATTTCCAATTAGAATTTGTTTATAAGACGTTTTCTGTACATACTTAAACAATTTAAATGGGAAATAAAAAGAATAAATCGTTTGTTGACATTTCGTGAGTATAGCAGAATCGTTTCACTTCGCTGTAGGTGAAATGGAACGCAAGGTTTTATCGATGTGAGCTGTAAAACAGGATTGGATTTAGGCATGTGGTTTGGGCTAAAAAAATATTTTCAATAGCACGATCACTACTCATTATGAATTAAAGTATGATAATTCATAATAATTGTTTATTTTTTTTCTATATTTTGAAGTGTTAACATTATTTATTACTATTGATGGACCAACGTTATAATACTACTCTTTGGACCAATGTAAATATTCGAATAGTCGAACAGAGTACATATAGCATTATGATACACAGATAAAATACTCGATATACTCATACATCCAGTATTTAATCTGTGTATCACGCGGTGATAAAGCAATATATTATTAATGTATGAAACAAAAACACCCAGAATTCCTAACTGGGCCCGCGTGATGGCCCCAATGCGGATTGAAGGTGGAAAAACACATATTCATAATGGATGAAACCAATCCACCTGACATTCCTAACTGATATAATAACTAACCTAATTCCTAATTGAAGCTAAAAAAAAAAAAAAGCACAAATATTCTACTCAGTAATCCGTGCTAGGCCCGCATGGTCGCCCTGAATCGTACCGCCAAAAATATTAATCACCCATCCGATTATCGACCTTTGCGATCGTCGTTTAACCTCCGCAATCGCAGATCAAACGCGCCAAACACTACACTTGTTTATACTAAAGGAGGTATATTGCCATGTTTTTTTTAAATTTAATATATTTTGATGATATGACCATTTCTCATCTTATGTACCACAGTTTTATAAATTCAGCAAAAGTTCAATATATTACTATACTAGCTTTCCTCCAGCGGCTTCTCCCGCGCGGTCTTGTATTACACATAAAATACTTCCTTTTGAATCACCCTATCTATGAAAAACAACCGCATCAGAATCCGTTGTGTAGTTTTAAAGATTTAAGCATACAAAGGCATATAGGGACAGAGGATGCGACTTTGTTTTTTTATACTATGCAGTGATTATTACATTTTTATAAAATCACATAGCTTATTTCATTGTTATTTTTATAAAAGCTTATTTCATTGATATATGGGTTCTTCACACTCAAATAATTTTTTGTCGAATTTAAATAAAATAAAAACTATTAAAAACAAATGAAGGTAAAATAAACGTTCATGTTCTGTTACTTCTTATTTCTTTATAAATATAAATATTAATAAATATAAATGCTTATGTTAAACCTATCATTTTTACAGTATAAATTTTAATTCTTAATTACATAATCAACACTATAAAATACAAATAATTAAAACAGTAAAAATAGTTGAAGTTTAAAATAACGTAAATAGTAACATAGCTTTGGTGATTTTGGTTTAAAAGTTACAACATTAGTTTAAATAGATAAAAAAATAGTTTTCAATAAACCTTTAGGCTGGATCACCTACAAACAAAATATTAGTAAATAAAATTCTTCACTATTCCAAAGTCCAAATTAGTAATAATATTTCTGATTCCGATATATCAAAAACGCCAGAAACCGTCAATTTTTAGCAAAAATCACAGTTAAAAATATAATAGAGCCTTCAATGTCTACAGATGCAGCCGGATCCAATCACGAGAAATAAATTTCTGGTCACCCATCCCATTCACGATAAATGCATAAGTTACTTAACAACGCAAATGTCCTAACCACTGCGCATACTTAGAATAACGTACTTAGAATGCCACAGATATTATTTTCTTTATAAGTTCCCATCATTGTTGTATTATCTAAGTTAAACGAAAGTGTTATTTATTAGAGATGCACCGAATATTCGTTCAATATTCGGTTATTTATTCGGCCAAATTATTCGGTTTTGGTGCCGAATATATTCGGTTCGAGTATTATAGACGCGGTATAGTACTCAAATCAAAACTTCTTAGGGAACATTTATGTTATACAGTATAAAAAGCTATAGCTATACTATAGTCGCTATAAAAAAATATATGTAATAGAGATCAGAAATCAATTCTGTTGGGTTTTTCTTCGTATAGGCTGCCCCCTGCTTCTAAATAATCATTCCTTATATTACAAGGAACACTTAGAAATACTCTCGCTAAATAACAATAAAGTAATTGAAAATCGAAAAATTCGGCCGAATATCCGATTTGGTAAAAGTATCCAGTATTTGGCGCATCTCTAGTTATTATATAAGTAAGCATCGTCGTGTTAACTTAAGCTGCAAAGTATATAAGTGAAAGGTTAAAGCATAATGATCTTCTATTGTATAATAGTTAATGATCGACCTATGTACAATCAACAGCATAACATGCTGTACAAATCTATCAAAGTCCAAATATCTTATTATTATATTTGAGTAATTTTGCGTGATGCTATAGTGGAATATATTCTAAATGAAAAATACTAAAACATCTTTGTCCTTTGAGCCTTTAAGCACTAAATGAAAGGGCTTAATAAGCACATTTTAAATATATATATTGATAGCTTTTGCTTAAATACATCCGGAAATTAATTAAATAAAAAAAAGTTTATTTCATTATTATCAGTGGCATACGACTACCTATCCTTTGGTCATCGCTATTATAATATAGCTATCGCTATAAATATAAATGTCTTGTTTTAAAATTTTTGGAGCGTTATTTAGCTGTAGTCGAGTATTAATTTTTGAACTTATATATACAGGTATAGAAGAAAAATCTTCTCAAAATGGCTGAAAGAATTCCAATTTTTTATGAATGCTCTATTAAATAAATCAATTATTTATATCTATCTATCTATTTATATATTCACGCCGTATCCCTTACGGGGTAGGCAGAGAGGACCGGTAAGCCACAATGTACGGATAATCCATGCATATTTCGTCTCATCCAATTTCGTTACTCTTTTCATACGTACTCGCCGGTTTTTATGGCTTCTGTCATCATCTGAGAGCTCGCGATTGATTTGATCGTAGAAGGTGCGTCGTGGCCTTCCTCGGCTTCTGCATCCTTCCACTTTCACGTTTGTACATCAGTTTTGTCAATGTTTCATCCGGTATTATTTCTACATGTCCGAACCAATGTTATATTTAAAAAAACACATTAGTTCCTGAAATCAAACTAGATGTCGCTACGGTACGTTCTTGATTTCTCCATGACAACCCTTCCGGTTTTCTTTCGTGTATAAAAGTAAATTAGTTTTCATAACTCAATAAACAACTCATATTCTGTTTGTACTTTTTCGTATTTGTATTGATATCTAAGTTTCGAACTTCGCGAATTTCAGTTTTTTAATATGTTAGTTGAAAGGAACGGATATGACTGTCTTTGGTCCAATGTTTCTTGCAAAAATGAACTTTTGCTAGAGTCGCCATCTAGTGAAGGTGCTTTTTAGTGCTTTCTTTTTTTATACTTCTTCATTCATTCTTTAATTAAATTCAGAGAAGTAATAGAAATAATATATTAATATATAATGGTTTTGAGCTTCATCAAATCATAGAGCTGTTATCCTGTCCCATCATAATGTCAGGCCTTCGCGAAATTGCCTTCACCGCAATCTTTGGCATCGAACTCCACGAAAACAGTAAGGAAGTGAATATTCTTCCGTAAAAGCAATTTATGCGTAAATATATGAAGGTAATACGGGTCAGAATCGCTTGCAGTTACACGCTGACATGATAACCAATGGCTTGAGAGCATTTCCTGACTATTTTCTACTACATTTTACTTAAGAATTGATAGATTATTATCTAATTTTATAAAGAGGGAAGATTTCATTGTTTGTTTGCAACGAATATGCTCCAGGGCTCGGAAACGTTATTCAAAATAACGTTTTTAAAACGTTTCTTATGGTTCTTTGGGCAAGATTGCGTTCGAAACGAAAACGAAATGAGAACGCTTTAAAAAACCGGTTTAATCCGCAAGACGGTGCCGCGCGGGCTGTAAGGGCGGCGTACATTTATTTTATTACGTTATTTACAGTATGCGATGCAAAAAAACGCAAAATAAATGGTTAAAAACGTTTTATTAACCGAAAACAATATAATTCTGTTTTTTTCCAAAATCGTTTTTTATATCGTTCTGTTCGAACGAAACCGAAACAAAGTGTTTTTTAGGTATTTAAGATGAAAACGTTTCGAAAAATATACCGGTTTCCGACCCCTGATAGGCTCCGAATCTACTGGAACGATTTCAAAAATTATCACCTACAGGAAGCTAGATAGGCTATATTTTTTCTCGAAAATAAGAGTGCGTATTTGTACAGGGAATTAAAAAGTTACCACAGTAACAATTGTTTACTATTCAATAGGGATGTAGACTAATTTTCGTTTGTCTGTCAGGTATGTTAGTGAAGAATATTAGATGCTAGCTTTCCGCCAGCGGCTTCGTCCGCATGGTCTTGTATTATACATAAAAACCTTCCTTTCGAACCAACAAACAGTCTATATTAACAAAAACAATAACACTCTGAAATCGGAATTGTAATTACAACTGTCATTACAAAAAAAAAAAAAGTTTTACAGACTACTTTTCGCAAACCATTAAATCATATCACAGAGTATTTTTTTAAAGAATAAGTGTTGCCATTCTTCATCTAGGTATTTTAACTTCTAATATCATTGATGTCAAATCAAGGTCACAACGTTGCCA